GATAAAACCTAAACGATACCCATCCCTAGTTATGACTTTAAAATGATGGCAGGAAAAACACTAACATGTAATCTGCATGGTTTACATATATCGGTGTATTAAACCCATCATAAGTATATTAAGCGCATAAACAACTAAGAATAAACCTTTTAGTTGCTTTAACGTAGCAGCTTATTGTTTCGATTTCATGCTCTCTAACTGTACAGATTTGATTCAGTCTGGCAGCTGTTATGATAAGCACAACGTTTGCCTGGGAGCTGGTGCAGAGAAAATAGTTTCTGGACTCACACTTGGTGGGTGGCTAGAAACACCTGTCAATATTAAAGTTAAGAATATGAATATGTAACATTTCTGCTTGTTGACTGTGCAGCATTGCATGAAGAAATTGTCAGTGTTGTGATTAGAGCCTGGTATGACATGCCCAAGTGCCCAGCTGTCTTCGTTTCAATCAAACAAATAAATAAAGTTACGCTTAAATGAACGTTAGTATTGGGAGGGTTTTTTTCTCCAAAACTCATGCAGCAATAGCTCTTTCATCACATCCTGTTGAGAACTTGAACTTGAAACCTTGCATCATGTCTAAAGTGCAGTAATCATGTGCATATACTTGATTTGAAAGAACTTTCTCCTTATAAACAAATCCAGGATGTCACATATAAGTTCGCAGCCTTAGCAAAGTTTAAATAACTAAACCTCTGGTGAATCCAGTTCTTTAGCTGTCCAAACAAATGCCAGTAGCAGTGACAATGACCTCTGAAGTGGTCGGAGAGAGAGACGAGTCTGGAAAAGCATTTTAAGTGACTGATGGTCATTTCATCGCTTTACTACTTCAGCAGTGGAACCCTGAGGTATGTGAGGAAGATTATGCAAATCTCAGAAGAAAAGTTCAGATCCACCTCATCCGCATAAATTTGCTGGCAAAACAAGGGAAGTTGAATCTTAGCACATTATGCACCAAACAAAATGCCAGCAGTGATACGCCGCGTTCCCATGAGTGCACTCTTTCTCTCTCGCACATCCTCACAGTGGAGCGTTCACAGAGGGAGACACATCTGCGATATCATTGCCTCACTTGCACTAGCTGCTCTCACGTTGCATTTTTATGGTCAAAAGTTTACTATTACCAACACAAAATTGTAATTATGCTGTTGACAGCGTTGTGACTAAACTACAACACGCTACTTCCTGTAATAATACAAAGTAAATATGCATAGGTCACTCAGATAGTACTACAGTAAAGACAGCAATGCGCTGTAATTAGTTTTTAGTTCCTGCATTGCATATTAGTCTTCAAAGGAGAGCTGGGATTTGTAGCCATTTAGCACATGGCATGACAAAGCCTTCCTCAGAAGGAATGGCCTCAGGAGCG